CAGCAGACCCCAGTTGTTTCCCGATGAACCCTCGGGCGCGCCGGGAGGAGGCGGTGGAAATTTGACGGCGCAGCAGAGGATCAAGGAGCGGCTTTGGGGCAGTCGCGGAGCGGCTTCTAGTCCTCCGCCTCAGCAGATGCAAGCTCCAGGGGGAGGAAGAGTTGAGATGCCTATGGGTCCGCCAAGGGGCGACGGTGGGCAGCAACCATATATGGGATCTGGAATGCCGTGGGATGATGGACATGGTGGTCGCCATGAGCCGCCGGCGAACAACTATCCTGGTGGAGGCGGCAACATGAGAAGGGGTGCGGGAAGGCCGGGATTGCCGAGTGGGCCTGCTGCTGGAAGGCCGCCTTATCGGTAAAGGGCAGTGGGAAGAATGGAGCAAGCTTGTGGTTATTTTGACTCGGCTTGCTTGCAGGTGTTTTTTTGCTTTGGCTTCTTTTTGAACATACATGACTGTTGTAATGATATCTGGCTTTGCATTTTTTTTGTTCTGCGCATTTTTCTAGCGAAGGGGCGTTTTCTTTGTTATCATCAGTGCTTGTTCTTTAGATCGAAAAGGGTCCTGGCCGATGGCTTACCGGCGATGATGCTCTGCAGATGCTGTCACCACATTCCGTCTTTTCGGCCAGCTGCTGTGACTGACTCGTCTTAACGCGCTAGACCATCTACTTGACGACGCAGAAACCCGTCAAAAAGTTGCGCCACCTGGCACCGCGCCCAGGGTTGTTTTCCTTTCCTTTTTGTCGTTTTTCCGGGGAGTATATAGCATGCATACATCGTCGCGGGGGTCGCTGCAACTTGCTTGTTTACTTTTGAATGGGACGCCTTTTTTTTTTCTGGAGCAGTGGTGATGGTGATGCTTCGGCTTCTTCAAGTTGGTTTGGTGTTTGTGTAGCCGACCAACAAGTTTCCGTGGTGTTTGATGCGCAGGCATTTAGAAATGAGCGAGGGCGAGACCTTTTCGATCTGGTGATTTTGCACCTCAACGATTCACCCTTCGAGTAAGTTTCCGCCACTTGCCTTTTTTTTTTTTTTTTTTTTTGGTTCTAAATGCCGGCCACGCGCACGAGTAGGTTCGTAGCTTTCTGCTTCCCAGATACCGGAGGAACCACCCAGTAGATGGAACCCTCCCCCCCCCCCCCGAGCCATGATGAGCATACATGATAAGCAAGCCCGGTCGTGACAAGCCTGTCTTACCATGGAACTCGTAAGCCTACGGTAGAGGCGGAGGAAGAAAAGTGCCCACACAGCCACCACCGGCAAAGCTTGAGCACGACGGAAGCTGATGGGGGCATTTGGGTCCCTATCCGTGAGGGAAAGGGCTTTGAGGATTCAAATGGCATAGTTTTTGAGTGGATGGGGGGGGGGGGGGGAGTTGGAGAGAGGGGGGGGGTTGCTGCGGCGGAAGAGTTGTTGGATCAAAAGGGCAACAGTCAATGGCGATGGCATCTTTCAGGCGGAGGGGTCGAAGTACTAGATAAAAAGAGAGGCTGTGGTTAGTAAGCCTTGGGAATTTACACACCTTCTTATGCGGCCTTTTGGGGGGAAAAAAAACGGTGGCATTGTTATTGTGGCCGGTTGTGGTTATTTCCGGCGAGGTCCCGGAAGAAACAAAAAAAAAAAACGTTCAGACATCGAGAGATCTAGATTGCGGACCGGTCGAGTACAATCCGAGCCATTCTCGAATTACTTCCCGTTACCCCTGGAGGTAGGTATGTATGGTATGGTATGTATCTCATCTCTACCACAGACTACCCGCTTGGGAAGTTGCAGGATGCGTCAAAAAAAGAAAAACCCCCCGTAGATATGTATCTCGGCATCTCCCCCAAGTGTCGAAGACGAGATGGCCGATGGAGGAGCTCCAACTGCACTTACATCGGGCGGTTTTGCACTTGCCACTATGTATCTCTTGAGAACTACCGGAATAGTGTTGTCGTGTGCACCCAACCACGCGAGTGCTCTCGCATGCAACACGTCAACCCGCATATATGTATCTGCCTACGCTATCTTATGCATAAACGGCAAACCGCCCCCCCCCCCCTCCTTATATAACCCGTGTCTACTCTATCCTATCCCCCCAGGCACGCAGCCGAATACCCCTTCAAGTCAATCGATCGCTTACTTCCAAGTTTCCGCGCCGCCGCCGGGCCCGTGCAGTTACTATAAGGGGACATCTCGTTGCGATACTGCAGGGGGGCTGCGGATATGTAAAAAGAAGTATATATATATCTTTGCGCTGCCGGAGCTCTGTAGAGATGGCCTCCTTAATCTCGTAGCAACTATGGCGACGACGTCGCGTTTAAGCTTCTTGCAGATACCCCCAGAGTTACATCTCGAGATCGCCTCTCACCTCCCCATCTGCGATGTCAACTCCCTCCTGCAGACGAACAGCTACTTCTTCGCCCTCCTCGACAAGCCGCTGCACCAACGGGTGGCACGCATAGCGCCTCCGGCAAGCACAGACCTAGACTTCGAAGAAGCTGATGATGACGACGACGACGACGACAACAACAACAAGAGCTCGCGCCCGCTCCACCGGATCATAGCTCTGGACCGAAACTCGGTGCTCACAAGGCTGCTATCGCTTGGCTTTTCCCCGAGCCCCCAGTTTGTGCACTCGGCGATACATTTCGGGAAACACTCGATGGTGCGGACGCTGCTGGATGCGGGCGTGCCGCTGGAGGGGGAACGCACAACGTTGCTGCATGTAGCTTGCTGGGACGGCGGTGCTTGGGGGAGTGATGTGTGTTGGAGACGTGATGGGCAGTTGGAAATGGTCGAGTTGTTGCTGGATTATGGAGCTGATGTCAATGCGGCCGACGCAAAGGGTAGGCCGCCCTTGTCGTATGCGTGGTCCGGCGAGGTGTGGCCTTTGGTTGGGTTGTTGCTTCAGAGGGGGGCGGATCCCGGGGAGGCGGTGGGAACGGATGGGATTATGAGGGTTGGAGGATGGAGGAGGTGATATAGGATATAATGGGGCGGCGGTTACAGATTAGATACCACATGCGAACAGAGGACAAGTCTTGATGTGGCCATTTGCAATAGTGTAAGAGAGATACCATTCATTACGAGTATCCACCGACCATAAGCCAACCTGGAGTTTTGACAGAACTGCTGTCCGGTAGCTATGCGCGACTGAGTGATAGATAGTACAGTGAAGCTTTCCTCCTTCCCTCACATGGTTTCATATCGATCACTGCCGGTCCTCATGACTATCGCTACGGTAGCGGTACCCAAACGGGCCCAACGCCGTCAGAACCTAGATTTTACCACTTGTTTAAAGTTGTAAAACCCAGAGGCATATGTTTTTCTGTCTCTATTGTTTTCCCTCCCCAATATACCCCTTCCCAACCCGCTCTTCCTCGTAAAAAAAAACGCCACCTGCGCCTGGCGCTTCCTCCACTCCCTCACGATACCAGCGAACTTGGTCCTGCCTCTTTATAGCCACGTCGTCAGATATCTCACCGAAACTGGCCATGAAGGGCAAAGAGAACGCACCAACAAGAGCCGCTGGCGCACAGCAGCACGGTATCCAGCAACCACGTCCGAGCCCAATCAACATCGTTGAACCAAGATTGGAAGGCAGCAGGTTCTCGAGGTCGGCATCGCAAATATCAGCGTTTGAGGTGGTTGGGGAGGTGGACTCGTTCGCCGACGGCGTGGTCTTCGAAGCCGTCTTGACCTCCTTGTTCGTCCTCACCATCCAGGGTAAGGTCGACGGGCGTTGTATTGGCGATGATATCGTTCTGAAGGCGGCTGTGGGTGTGTGTGTGTGCCTGGAGAATCGAAGTGGGCTTACTCTGTAGGAAGGGCTGCTGGTTTTTAGGCCACTTGTGGTTTTCCCTAGACATAGTTAGGGAGGTGGACTCGTTCTCCGAGCCGTAGCCGCTGACAGAGGAGCTAGAGCTGTGGGGGTCTCCGAAGTTGTCTTGACCTTGCCCGTCCTCATCATCCAAGGTGAGGTGAGGTCGACGGACGCCATGTTAGTGATGATATATTTTCCAAAAGCGAACATTAGTACGAAGCATGTGTGCATCAAAAAACACAGAAGGGGTTCTTACTTACTCTGGGAAACCGGCCTCCGGTTTCGAGGTTTTCCCTTGACGTGGTTGGAATTCTGGAAAGTCGTCGTTGTTAGTCGGAAAGGATGGTTATATAAGGTGTCATCGGCGGTGGGCTTCAATGGCAAGTCCAGTTGATGCCCCATTTGTTTTACCGCCCCATCAGCACCGGGCCACCGTCTTGAGATATGGTCGGTGAGCACCCGCAGACATTATTCCCGTATTTTGAAACAGCTCACCTTATACCAGCACCGGCGGATTATAGCTCGAGGATGAACATCGTAGCAAGCACCCAAGCGCCGACAACTCACCAGCATCAAATTTGTTTGGATTGAGCTTTGAATTTTCTGGGGAAAAAAATAAAAAATAAAAAAATAAAGAAAAAATTGCCATATCCCAGACCGAAAAAAAAACCTGTTTCAATCCGAGCTTATATTCGTTGTTCTGGGTCGATGGCAAACACCTCCACTCCCTCCATCTACTTGGCAACAACTGAGCGCCTAATTTTGTGACGTTTGTCGCCAGGGCGAACGGCTTCGAGATGAAAGCTCTTCCACTGAGCAATACAAAGCAGTGTAAGAATTCGGCGGAACAAACCCCTTCCGTCACTCGCACTCACGATCAGAGACAATACCTGTGTCCCGTCGTAGAGGTACATCAACAACGCAAGCACTGCTGTTAGTGTCCGTAGTAGCTCTCGTGGACACACACGATCCAGCCAAGCGCTTTTTGGCTCCGCTGTAGATTTAATCCTTCTCTATAGCCCGGAGATATAAAAAACACACATGACTCCTTTGGAGTTGATATATTCCAAGTCTATCAATGTGGGGAGCTTTTATTCCGTCCGACCCTTACTGAATCCAGTATAATAAGTCTCAACGGCCACACGATAGCGAACGAAGAAAGTAAAAAAAAAAACAAAAAAAAACATGTTGCGATGTGCAGGGTTCGAACCTGCGCGGCATGTGCCAGTGGGTTTTTTATATACTTAAATCCACCTCCTTAACCACTCGGACAACATCGCGGTTGATTATTTTTATTTCTCTTTTTGGATATCTGATCCAACTTCACTGTTGAACGGACACCCCAATGTTTTTTTTTTTTTTTTAACGAGGTGCATCATGGAAACGTAGAGAGTTGCGAATGGAGGTTCTGTACTATAGCTGTGTACATGTAGCTTTGTCGATAATAAATTCAGGGCAGGAGTAAGTAGAGTAGAGAAATTGAGCAAAAACCATAAAAATTCCCCCGTATTGCAAAATCATCATAAAGTCAACACTCTAAATGAGCAGCTGCCGTATTTACTGCTCACCTTCCAACGAGCACTAAAAAATAAAACAAATCAAAACAAAGAAATACCAACACCCCAAAACAAAAAAAATAAAAAATCTCAGCGCTGAATTAAGGCAAGTCAAGTCACTTTCTCAACCCAGTCCACAAATGCGCCCCAACACACAGAACTGACAAAAAAGCTCAACAGAATGTCACGATGCCTGCCCCTGCCCCCACCCCTCGGTCTCCCACTTCAGGTTATCATGCAGTCTGCGGCACGCCAATCCTCAACGGCACTGGCAGCGCCGCCTCCGGCATGGGTGTATCTCCCTCCGCATCCGTATCAGCATCCACCCCGACCGCGGCCGCCTCCTTTTCCTTTTCGTCCTTATTCAACGCTCCGCTTTTCCACTTCTCCGCGAACTCTGTCAACCGTGTTGCCGTGTCCACATGGAACAATCTGTGGGCGTGTAAGTCTAGGTGTTAGGATGGGAGGATGAGAGAGGCTTGGGAAAAATAGATACCCTTCCAGAGCCTTCGGCACATCAGCGCCCGCATCCAACAACATCCCCAACACGCCCTCATGCCACTTCCCATCCACCGCCAACCTCAATGGCACTTCCGGCACCACATTAACCTCCGCACCAGCCAGGAGCAAGCACTTAACGACCTCGACATGGCCCTCCGCAGCAGCACAACCCAGGGGGGTCCACTCGCTAGCCTCGATCTTCGCATCGACCTTTGCACCAGCCGCCAGGAGGCATTTCGCGACCTCAGCATGGCCAAAGTCGGCCGCGCCGTGCAATGGGGTGTATCCATCATCGACCTCATTCTGGGGGTCTTTACACATAGCCTCGACCAGCGCACCAGCCTCCAGCAAAAACTCGCACACCAGATGATGCCCCTTCTTCGCGGCGGCATGTAGCGGCGTAGCATCGACCTCGTCTCTAGCCATAATATCCGCACCGCTGGCAACAAGGACTTTTGCAACTTCGAGGGCCCCGCCATGCGCAGCGTGGTGCAGAGGTGTCCTCCGAGCCTCGTTGCGCGCATCCACCAATGCACCTGCCGAAAGCAGCAGCTTGACAAGGTCCACGTGCCCGCGCTTTGCGGCGACATGCAAGCATGTCGTCGCCGTGACTAATCCGTCGCGGAAGCGGTGATCAGGACTGACGCCGAGGCGCTCCAGGAAGAGTGCGGCAACATGTGTGTTTCCGGTTCGAGCAGCGTAGCGGAGCGCAGAAGTGCCACCGTCCTCGCGTAGTGCCGTGCGATAAAAGTCTGCGGAGCATAGGTTGTACAGCTGCTTGTTTGTGCGCAAGAATGCAGCGCGGTTCTCCAGCGGTAGCGAGGCGGCAATGAGAAGCACGATTTCGTTCGGGATTCGGAGAAGCGCCGGTTTCATTGTTGTGGCTATGGGCGGTTCGGTTATTGGTATGGTGGGGAAGTGGGTGCTTGGTGGTGGTGGTGGTTAGCGATGGTGGGGCGAGCTACTGTAGCTGGGGGGCTCGGCTGGGGAGCTTGGAAGCTCAGCTCTTTAGGGACTGGACGATCACGGGGAGCTCCACAGAATCGGTGATCGTCGTTGCCGTCGTCGTTGTCGTTTACCCGGACTTTGGAAAGCACATCGCTTCCATGTCTCAGATGGCCAGGGCGAAACATTCAAAGCGCTGCACGAGTGTCTGCGAGTGTCTGCGAGTGTCTGCGCCGCCCTTGCGCAATCAGCATTCCTGCATGTCCAGCAAGCTCCAAGTGGTAAATCACAGACCATCACTCGCAAACGGTAAGTACACATTGCTCAAATCCAAGAAAGACACCGCGCTCAGTCCACCGTGATAGATAGATGCAATATGTACCAATACCCTCCCTCTATCACCCCTAAGAAAGCCCTACAAAAACACAATACAATACTCCCGCACGCGCATACCACCCTCAAAATCAACAGCAGCAGGTCAAGTAACGAGTAAAATTCCGCCCAAACAAAGCAAGCGAGAAAGCAAGCGAACCAGCGAAAGCAAGCTAAAAAAAGGCGCGAACGATATGTAGCGTAGAAACCAGGAATCCACATCAAATGTAACAATGGTGAGCTAACAAGTACAGCCCCAGCAATCCCAAGCAAAAAGCAAGTGTGCACATACAAGCGCAAAAGAAAACGCAAAGAAACTATACAAGCCAAACCCAACCCAGAAAGCGGAAGACGATATCTTGTACAAACCCTACCCGCTGTCCTTCAGTATTTAGTCGAAGCTTCCACTCGCCGCCATCAGCTTCTGCATTTTCCTGACATCTCGATCCACATCTTCAAACACCTCGAATGCTCTCTTGGCGACCTCATCACGGTTGTAGTTGGCGCGTGATTTCCACACGTGATCCATGATCGCGGCGTTGGCCTGCTCAAGCTGCTCGACAGTGTATCCCGTAGTACGCTGTGCGAGCTTGCTGTGCACCTCGGCCATGAGCTCCTCGTTGCACCTGGTGATCGGAACTGGAGGAGGGGGAACCGTCCATATTTGACTGCCCGGAAGATGCGAAGCCGGGGAGGAGTCGGTCTGGCTGTAGGGAAAAGGCATGCCGTGGGCGGGCTGTGAGGCTGGGACGGAACTGCCCTGAGAAAGAGGCAGCTGGGTGGCCGGCAGCTGTGAGTCACCCTTGGCCAGTATCCCAAAGTTGCCCCACTGCACAGGCTGGTCGACGAGGGGAGGGCCTGTGCTATCGCGGACGTAACCGTTGCTCTGGTTGCTGTAGGGGTGCGAATGTGACTGGGAGTTGGTGTTGGCTGTGCCATCAGAGGTACGCTTGCCACCAGATGTGGTCGACGATGCGTCATTGACAATCATTGAGAGATCCATCGCGGGGACGCGGGTAACATTGACAGTACCACCAGGGCCAGATCCCATCTGCGTGAGCTGGGTGGACTGGTCAGGGGCAAGCATGGGACGGGAGACCGGGGTCTGGTAAAGAGAGTAATTGGAATCGCGGTTCAACTGGGTGGGCTGTGTGCCGGCGGTAGCGCCGGTCTCGGAAGGCACCCCATTCGACAACTGAGAGTTGTCACCGGTTTTCTGTGCAGCTGGTGTCTTTGGTGGGACGATAGGCACCAAATCATGAGAGGTCTTGGGTATCCTCGCCACCTCGGTACTTGTAGAGCCGCCATGACTGCCCTCTCCAGATCCCGCCTCAATCAACTTCATCTGTTTTTCCTTTCCTTTCTGCTCACGCTGGGCAATCTTCTCCGCCTTCCTCTGGAGTTCTCTCTGATACATCTCCTCACATTGTGTAACGAAGGCTGTGTCCATTTCAATGTCCGCGATGTAAACCTCGGCATTGGTCAACATCTCATTCGCCTTGCGTTGGCTCTCCTTGTCGCCGGCAAGTTTCCAATCATGGCGGATGTGCTCCAGATCAATCAAGAACTGCTGAGGAGTGGAATAGTATCCATTTGAGAAACGATCCTCAACAGTATCGAGATCCATGTTGTAAAACACCTTGTTCAAAAGAGTATCTTCCACCCGTATGGTTCCGTTCTCCTCCTGGTACGGCCGGTATCGAGGTGGCGGGCCATCCTGCGGGAGATCACTGATGATCGAATCTGGATCTGCAGGTGGTGGTTCCAAAATCCTCTGGATGATCTCATGATCTACCATGGGTTTTTTGAAGCGCCTGTACTTCTGTTTGAGATTTTCCATGAGGTTATTAAGTCTCACTTTTAGGTGGTTCTTGAGTTGACGATCTCGGGCAGCAAGCGCCTTCTTTTCCTCATATGTGGGCACGCGCTTTGGTGGTGGAGAAGCACGTTCAAGCTCTGGAAGCTTTCTCTTCATCCTGTTCTTAGGATCCTGAGGAAAGTCGCGAGGAGATTTTTGGATCGTCGACATGACCTTTTCGAAGTAGTTGAACCTTGAGTCGAGGTCAGGCCTCTCCAATTCGAACCGGTCACGCCTCGAGTATCCAAAGAAATCTCTCAGCAGTGTTGGGTCAAGTTCTTCGATTGGGACATCAGATATTCCTAGCAATAGAACTCGATCGTTGGACGGAATGGACTTCAAAAGGCCTTTGAAGGTGTTGATGGTTGCATCCGGAAGCGTACTGTACCAAACATCCACGTTTGGAATGAAGATGACACTTGGCTTGTGTCTCTTTATCTCTGTGAAGAACTGCACTATCGCAGTCTCAGGAGTCTGCAGGGTGATCAGCATAATTCATGAAAACATGAATCACATGGACATACTCTCGTTGCATCGCTCATCAACGTTCCAAGATCGAAGGACTGGACGTGGACACGCTCCATGAAATGCAGAGCCGCCGCTGCAAGATATTGCTGACCCAAACCGGAGATACCATGAATCAGGAGTCTGGGTCGGAAAACGCGTGCAGTTTCAAAGTCTGTCATATAACCATTAGCAATGCCCCCACGTTTCTAGCATGGGCCGGAGGTACTCACTCTCCATCATCATTTCGCGCGCAAATCCTTCCTCAGCATCCAAGATGTCGTCCTCATATTCCGCCTCTTCCAGCGGCGACAAGCGTTTGAACTCAGGGAATATGCCTTTCAAGCACTCGGTAATCTTCTCTAATTGCTTGGAAAGCAACGGTTTCACGTGGTCTGGCAATGGCGCCGCAGATGAAGAGGAAGAACGCTCAGAAGAGGGTGTAATCTTCCTGAGAGACATCATAAAGTCTCTAGCAGTAACGACAACCTTGGTTGGATCGACCTTAAGCTTGTCGAGTGACTTGTAGATCTGCGGATACGTG